ATCCTCAAGACAGTCAAAGGATTTTGTCATTTTTTAAGTCATATGTATAGTTCTGCACCAGCACCAGCACACCGATCAGATAAAGCACAGGTTGCAATGTCTATTATTAGATCAGCTTGTCGTCGGCGTAACTCGAACTGATCGACATCGTAATAGTTTGACGATGACTACCGCAACCAACTTACAAATGATTACTACACCACCATAGAGAGAAATCATTTTTGTAATCCCTTCGGTTAGATTACTTTTTTTTGTATAAGAACGAACACATAATGAAGCTGCACACTGATCAAAGTAATTTTCATAGGATACATTTTTCACAAGTTCCTCGATCATTAGTTCATTGAAAATGGATTCAATAGTTGGATTATAAGGGTAACGACTTGGATTAGCAGAGCTATTCAATGGTAGAGAAATATTTGTTTCGTTCAAACATTTTCGATCGTAGAGACAGTCGAGTGACCATTGCAACATAGTTTCGATTGGATAGCAACCTATCTTTAGCCCAGAATGAAACCAGGTACACGTCGAAGTAGATCCACAGTTGCATCCCTGCTCAGTGATTGGAAGAGTGTGCACAGTATATCCAAAAACTAGATTTTGCGGAAACCTCAACACCCACGTGTTACGATAGATAGTCATTAATTTGCTTGTAGCTATTATCATGCGAGTCAATGCAAACGTATTAGTTAATATTTTAGGTACTGTCGAATTGAAATCATCAATAATCGCTCGAATTTCTTCGGTCACTGAGAATCGAGATAACAGTTCAGTATTGAGTAGATGACTTGATAATAATTGAGTGATTGAATCGTACACTGTGTCATTAGACAGTGCACATAGTGACTTGATCGTTCGCATATATGCCCGACCTGTATACGCATACTGTGGATCAAGGTGCATGGACAAAGTATGATTAATACTGTTGGCCATGCTCAATGCTTCTGAATCCAAGTTTCTCAAACATACGTCGTGGAAACGAGCAGTTAGGTTGAGAAAGGAACCATATTGAATGGATATTTTTGAGCAAAAACAATGGAGAGAGTCGGGATACTGTCTAATTAGATTTTCATAATAAGCTAGTGATGGTTTCTGAAATTTCTCTTCAATTAACTTAGGACGAAATACGTGATGTACGTAGAGAACATAGAGGATCACTCCAACTAGAATAATATGTAATCGGCGCGTCAACTTCTGCTCATCATTCCAGCCAAAAATCTGTTTTAGAAACTGTAAAGATAGTTGCAAAGAAAATTCGTTGACGAACTTTTCAATTAATCGAAGGCCAGACCAGATGAGCAACTGAAAAGCAATGGATAGACCACCAAAAATACCAGCAATAATGGTGACAATCGTCAAGAAACCTTCATAACTCTTATATTCTATGATGCATATACTGGGCACACATTTGTAGTAATAAGAAGTAAAATTGGCATCTGCTGACCAGTCATCAATCATCAATTCATCGACAATCGATCCAATCAACTTATTAGCTGGATTAAGGCTTGAGTTGAGTGCTGGAAAGATCCACGATTCGTTGAGCGGCGAAAGAAAATATCGACGAAGATTCGTCATACACGATTTACTATAGAAACATTCTAATGTCGATGAAAATAATGCTTCGATGAGATAGCAACCCACAAAAAAATTAGGAATTGTATAGTTCCCCTTAGGATCGTTTCCGGCATAATTGTATATTTTCATGAGTTCGGTACATGTACGATTCGTCGTACCACAATTACATCCACCAAACTTTCGTGGTTCAGTTTTTAAGTCATGTGCAGTTAAGTTTTGTTTAAAAAGAGTATTCAAAGGAGTCATTAATTGATTTGCCATCGTGGTAATTCGAATAAGTTCCATTCTGCTTTTAAATTGAATGATAGTGGAGTTTTTCCAATTTTCAATAATATGGTTCATTTTATCTAAAAATAGTTCTTTATTGATTATTTGTGAGTTGACAAGCTGTGTCTGCAAAAATATGTCACGAGCATCATCGATTATATTCTTAGCTTTTTTACATAGAATTGCCAATGTTTCAAACTGATTCCCAGCAACGACTCGATAGTCAAATATGTACCGCCTACCTCTACTCTCCGAATTACTGTACATAATCCATTCTGGAGTAATCAAATAATTCGAGCATACTTGATGGAATCGAGATTGACTAGTTATAAAAGAGGAGTAAGGTACAGATATGTTTGTACATTTACAACTCAGATCAATTGGGTAGTTTTCTTCAAGAATCAAATATTCAGATTCTGATGGATTAATAATAGTATGGCGATGAATTGATTTGTCCACTAGATTATATCCAGCTAGAATTGCAACTGAAATGATGATCAAGAATATATACAGTCGAGTAGCATAACGTTGATATTGAAGTTGTCGATCATTGCGGGGAAAATACTCAAATGTATTTAGTTCAACAATTAACTTTTTCAAAGCCGGTTTGATTAGACGCAAACGTTCACGAACTAGAAATTGAAATTATATAAATTAACAGAAGAACCCTAGCTGGACAGGTTCCGCTTCGTTTTTAAAAATATTGGCTCTTAGGAGCCGGCTCATCTTCAGGATAGGAGCTACTCAGCCCTGTCTCTATTAAATTTACCGAACATCCACTCTAGACAATCATACGAAGTAAACAGATAGGGAAAACTTCGGATTTGATTCGAAGTCAACAACTACCTAAGGCTCTGCCATCAGGTCCAGCTCCGGTCACAAAGACCTTTGCCTTACTCTGATTCTAGCTTCGGCTCCGTTTTGAAAAAAAGTCCAACTCGTAGGAGTCGGAGCTACCAAACCCTAAGGAAAATATACTTATCATAAGAATAGAATTACTTACGAGTCAGAGTGGATGGTGGAGATCGTACATTATTTAATTTATTTATGATGAATCGAACAATAATTGGAGTCAATAGTCTCAGTGCGGATATCAAGCCGCTGAGTAAACCAATGAGTTGTGTCATCACATCTAATAAACTATTTCTCATTTCTTTTGGATAAGTGCAAGAAAGAGGTGCACAATTATCGCGATACTTTTCATAAGACACGTTCATGAGCCAATCTTCCACCATCAACTTATCGACGATTGATTTCACGGTTGCATATGGACCGAAATGACTGAGATTGTTAATTTTCATCGCTGAGAAGTTTTCTTTTGTTCTAAATTCTGAAACAAGTGTGTTCAGACATGCCTGATTGTAAAAACACTGAAGTGACGATGCAAGAATTGAAGTCACTGGGAAACAACCCGATGCTAACCCAGGCAGACTTGTGTTACGACCGAAATGATACTGTGTTGGTGCATCGTGTATGTCGCTAAAGATAGCATCGGAAATACATCGATCATCCGAAATACAACTGCAAGGAACCTTATTTCTGTAACGGTATATAGTGGGATTAACTTGAGTGATATTCTCGAATGAAAATATAAAGTTTGTTTGAAGACCAGATATAAATCGATTGTTAGTTATTACTCGAAGAATCAGTTCTAATTCAGCTGCAAATGCTCGGGGTAGAGTCTGTTGAAATTGAGTAATAGCTGAGTTAATCTCTTCTTGAAAAAGACTCCTTTGCCAAAGTTTTGGACTGATAAATGTGCTGTTTCCAAACGAATCAATGTTTTGTCGAAGATAAGATTTTGATTGATTACAGAAACCGGCTAATGCTTGGAATTGTGCGCTACCGAAAGTTCGAAAGTCGTTTAAATTGAAATACGTCACGTCTGAGCCAGAGAAGATGGCTTTAATCCATCGATCAGACACAAAATCACTCCTGCATATATGATGCAAAATCGGTTCCAATGAAATAAACTCACCATATGAGAGTGAAACACGAGAACACGGGCATTCTGCATCGCTAAGAAAGCTATCTAGTTCGTCTTTAGATGGATTATCTCGTTTTCCCGTGATCACTTTCAGATCTGAATGTATAAAAAGACCGAGAGAAATAAGAAGGAATGTGAGAAGAACTAGATAGATCCGAGTAACAAGGATATTGAATTGACGTTGTTGTTCATCTTCAGTTTGGTTACTAGCAACTGGTGGTTGAAAAAGATTGAGATTGAGAAAAAATATTTTCCAAGACGATATCGTCTGCTGACAAAAATCGACTATGGGCATGATGAGTTATATGCGTTTATGATAAATGTAAAACGTAAGACAGAAAAAAATATGATGTATTATTAGAATATTATTTCTGTAGACAGATGCAATGAAGTAAAATATTCTATTTAACAACATTTTTTCTACGTCAGAAAAATAAATTTACTGCGCAAAAGAATAATTTTTTTTGTATCGCATTTTTATCAAGAATAACTAAAAATGTTGATTGAAACAATTTGCTTCCGTATCCTGCATGAAAATCATACACGGTTTTTAACATATTCTGTATTTATGCTAGATAATCGCTCGCATCTGCTTTTATATATATTTAAAAAATGAGTCGCATAAAGAGAAGCAAGTTTTTATTTGTCTATGATTTAGAGTGTTGCATTTGTTAGATTGATGGGATTAGAGGTGTAAGCCGTCAGTCAATTTTTGCTGAAGCCGACAGCTAGC